GCGCGAAAAGAAAATATATCGTCGCAAAATAATATGCTGTCGTCAAACACAACACCATCTCGAGGCGCTGATATGAAGTTATCTGGTGAGAGCGTATCAGCCGAACAGCTGATGCAAACGTGGGAGCAAAAATTAAAAAAACACGAAGACAACATTATCAAGCACATAAATGAAATGTGGGAACAAAAACTCAAAGCGCACGAAGCGAACATCATAAAACATGTAAACGAATCTTTGCAAACTATAGAGAATAGAGTTATGCAGAGAATGAGCGAGCTTACTGGTGAGTTAGCGAATACGAAAGAAAGACTAGACAAAATTGAACAAAGAATGACAGGTGTTGAATATGTGCACACAGAGCTTGCATTGCTCAAAACAAATGTTGATGCACTGCGTGAGCAAGTTGAAGATCTGGGGGAAAAGGCAGTGTCGACAGATATTGTAATGCATGGCATACCGTATTCCAGTGACGAAAACTTGAAGGAGATTTTCACTAAGCTGTGTGGAGTGATTAACCTCGAAACACCCGGCATCCGCCAAGCCTTCCGTATGCGCTCAAACAAAAACAATAATAAGAACAGGAACAGTAATGAAGCTAATCAAGCGCCTGTATTGATCCAACTTAACACAGCGCATGACAGAATTCAACTGCTCAAAGCTATAGCCACTTTTGCGAAACAGCATAAACGAGCTTTAACTCTCTCCGATGCTGATGTAGTTGGCTATTTATGCATGAAAGCTTAACGCGGCGAAACAGAGAAATAATGCACCACTCAACACAGCTGAAACGACAAGGTTCGTTGGCATCTGCTTTTAGCATTAGAGGCAAAGTATATGTTAGAGTGCAACAAAACACTGAGGCGAAGATCGTGAAAAGCAAAGAAGAAGTGAATGCTCTTGTCAGCGAAGTAAAATGATGATGACCGAATACTACCAACGATCAAGCATCCAACATATATATATATTTATTTTTTACTTTGTATTTCTCTCTTCATCTTTTCCTATTATATTTATAAATATGTATGATTACTTTTTAATTTTTGCCAATTCCACTAGACAAAGCCCATCACGAAGCGCAAACTGCATTAATCCCAATGACTAGTCCAAATGAGTGTTTGAGTACTGACAACGAATGTCTTGACATTGTTTTAAAACTCGTAAGTA